ACAGCAAGTTATCAAATTAAGCCTATGTAACTAAATCATGTTGAAATAATGCAAATCAAACAAAGAAATGTCCTGGTCTAATGCATTTTAATGCATTCTAAACATCACATGAAAGTCTAATACCCATAGAAAATGTGATTTTAAGGCTTTCATTTCAGAGGGGTTGTCCTTTATAAACGTTCTCAGCTCATAGGATGGTGCTGACGTAAGTGTGGTGAGGATGTATAATGTCCTGCAAAAGAGAAAGACAGCAAAGCTATCTGTTAGCAATCAAGTGACATTGTGGGGACAAACGTCTAATTTACATTCCCCTATGTGGTATCTTATTCACAGTATTGATCCTATTTCTTAGTAGAACTTATACTCATGGTTAAAACATAAAGAGACACATACACACACACACAGTGCAGGCTGTAACAGATCCTTCACCCTTCTTGATGAGTGATTACAGTCAATAAGAAGTAATTGATGTCTTCTCCTGTCCAGCAGTGCTGTAACACCCTTGGGACAACTGCAACCCCCATTTGTACATTTACCCCCTGACTGAGATGTGTGTGTGTGTCTGTGTCCCAGCCCTAGCCAGAGGATGTAATATGAGCTGGCAGTAGTTGTGGGAGGGGTACAGGTATGCTTAAAAAAGATGTTAGGTAACCTGAGGGCAGTGCAAAGTGAGAAATGTTCAGTTTTCTCTTTCTTTCTCTTTCTTTCTTCAAGTTGGACGGTTTCAGCTTATAAAACTAGTCACTGTCTACCTGAACTGTATTATTTTATTATCTTTCCTTTACTATCTGTCATATGCTGTAATAAAACCCATTACATCTGCAACATTAAAGTCATATTACCACCCCCATCAAACACAACCTTGTTATCTTCCTCTCTCCGTTGATCGGGCAATAAAGAGTTAATAGGACAATCTCTGGACTGACTATGGGAGTGTGGTCAAGGTAAGGGTTGTAAATATGACTCTCCCCACTCTTTTAAAAAGACAGTTAAGTCCAAATGGCTCCTGTAAAGTGGCTTAGTGGCAAACAGTAAAAGACTGTGACTGTACTGTGTGGGTGTAACAGTTCGAAAATTAAAACAAGGAGGTGCCGAGACATCCCGATTTCCAACTGTCAATGAGACTTTTTTTTAAGACTAATACATGCTGTTTTTTATTTAATTAATTCTATTTTGTTGTCATACAAATTTTATAATTGTGCCTGCTTAGCGATTGGAAGGGTTGCCTCTGAACATTCATGGTCCCCAGAAAATAAATCCTACTGACTTTGGTGAACCATTGACTTTAGCTCTTGTGCCACCCTTCAGAACGAATCATAATAAGTTTGTTAATCCTGTAACTTTCAATGTAACCACCACAATCAGGTTAGATTTCTAAATGTATGGGTTATTAACAAATACCTTTCTTGTATTCAGTTTGACACTTACTTATTAAAATCTCCAACTTTGTCCTTTTATGAAACAATAGAGTGAATCTTATTTAAAATATGATGATTAAAAACATCCTATTAAGATTTCTATGATACATAAGGTAAAAGGTCCCTGCAGTAAATCTACCTCTTCAACCTGAAGCAGCTCTGCAGTAGGGAATGCACATACACACACCAGTGCACACAAACTGTCCATAACTCAACGCTGACAGCACAACAAAACAGTTTCCACCATAATGAATGCCTTGCTTTGGCAGCCAGAGAGAGGGAGCTATACGTTACTGGCTAGAACTAATTGTTATTCAGACACACACACACACACATAAGTAGTGAACTGCTGTTTAATGGTATTTGAGGATTCAGGCAGGGACTTTCGAACTTGTGAGGATTGTTTTAGAAATTCCTTCACCACTCCACTATTCCTTTTGGC